TGGCCCAGGATCGGACATTGTTTCGTTCTGCTGTGCATGGGGTCTCTATGAGTAGGTTCTGACTCGATGGCACCTGACAACAACAACAACAACAAATATAATAACACCACAATATCTCAGAGACATCAGTTCACACAAAGAAACAAAATGAGGTAGCTCAAAGAAATTACCAAAATACAGAGTCATGAAACTTTTCTGAAGAAGAAATGGTATTAGAACTACCAAAAAGGAACTCAAGAGAATTATATTTAGGATCCTTCAACAGTCAATGAAAAGACTATGTAAACACAGACAAAATCAAGGAAACATACAAAACCCTAGAAGAATTTAAAAAATAATAATACAAGACCAAATTGAAAACATAGATGGAAAATTAGAAGCCATGCAAAACCAGCATTAAAAAAAAAAAAATTCAGAAGATGAATGTTAAAACTTCAGTAATATATATTATAAGGACAAATGAGTAGAACTGAATCAGTGGAAGACAGAATTAATAAAATTGAAGCTAAATCTCAATTCTAATAAGCAATCAGAAAAAGAATGAAAATAAAATGAGGAAAGCCTAAAAATTATGTGGGACATAAGAAGAATTACTTACATATGAAAGAATTGTAGAACAGCAAGAAAAGAAAACAAACCAACAAAATAAAACCAACAAAATTGTTGTTAGATTTGGGAAACTTACTTAATATCATGAAAGATGAGGAGATGTGCATTCAAAAGTCTCAATGAACCTCAAATAGGAAAGATCTTACATGAAAATCACCAAGACATATCATAATCAAAATTTGCAAAACAAAAGACAAAGAAAGAATCCTGAAAGCAGTTCAGAAAAATTTTAAAGTAACCTACAAAGAAGAATCAGTAAGACTAGATTCTGATCTCAACAGAAACTATGAAAGAAAGAAGGCAATGGGATGACATATATAAAACCCTGAAAGTATTTGCCAACTAAAAACTAAATATCTAGCAAATTGTCCCTCAAATATGATGGTGAAAATAGGACATTAGCAGGTAAATAGAAATTAAGGGAATTTGTACAAAACCCTATCAATCTAAAAAGAAATGCTAAAGGGAATCCTTCAAACAGACAAACAATAACAGCCAAAAAGTAACAGGTAAAGATATAAGATAATACCACCCAGAAACCAATCCAGATAAAGAAATAAAATAACAACAACAAAAACCCTACAAGCCTAAAAATAGGAAAACAGAAACATCAATTTGTAAACAATGATAAGCACTAAACAAAAAGAAGAAACAAACAGTGTAGTTGCAGAACTTCCAAATGGAGAAGTTGAAGTCAAGACAGTATCAAGACAGAACAGCCATTGGAAGTTAATAAGAAATTGCTGATAAACCTCAAAGAAAATTGATAAATCTTCTCATCAAAATAAAAAAGAAAACCACAAAGAATAAGTAAACATATCAGTAACAACGAAGGAAATGTAAAGAAAATTTATAAACAAAAGAAATTCAGCACAGAAAAATAAATGGAACAAAGAAATAATCAGCACCATAATTAACAAAGCAAAACAAAACCAGAAAAATGACAGAAACAAATTATACCCATTGATGCTTACAGTGAATGTGAATGGATTGCATATACCAATCAAGAGACAAAGAGTAAGAGTATGGGTAGGAAAACATGGTTCATCAATAAACTACTTCCAAAAATCACACCTTATACAGAAAAACAAAAATAAGTTAAAAATCAAAGAAAAGAAAAACATTTTTAAAATGGCAACAAAAAAAAAGCAGAATTGGCAATATTGGTTTCAGATAAAATAGACAGTAAGTCAAAAACCAGCATAAGAGAAGGAAGGGCATTATATAATGAATAAAGGGTAATTACAACAAAAGTACTTAACTGTAATTAGCCCCTATATATGTAATGAAGGAGCTCAAAATACATAAATCAAATCTTAGCAAAACTAAAATGAGAAATAGTTTCATATTAATAGTAGGGATTTTAATATAACACTTCCTATGAAGAATAGAAGTAGAATGAAATTCAACAAAGATACAGATAGCAATGATACAATAAACCAATTTGACCTTACGGATATACACAGAACACTTCATCCAAGAACAGCACAATGTACATTTTCATTCATTGCACATGGATATTCACCAGAATAAACCATATAAGTAGATCACAAAGCAAGCTTTACGAAATTTAAAAATACTGAAATAATCATTTTTTTCTCAGATCACAATGCTGTGCAATTAGAAATCAGTAACAGAAAGCACAAGGTAAACAACAACAACAACAACATCAAACATTTTGAAACATAAAAACACAATGCTTGAAAACTACTGTTTTTGTTGTTGTTGTTGTAAAGTGCCGTCAAGTTGATTCCAACCCATAGTGACCCTGTATAGAGTTTCTGAGGAGTAGCTGGTGAGCTTGAACTACTGACCTTGCAGTTCAAACGACTTTGCAGTCTGGTGCATTAACCCACAGTGCCACACCGGCACAACTTTTCACTACTGAGTAATAGACACACACAAAAAAGGGTGAAACAAACAAACAAAAATTCCTCAAATCAAATGAGAATGAAAGCACAACACACCAAAACATTTTGAGCACAGCAAACATCACTTAAAGGTCAGTTTATAGTAATAAATGATCACATCAAAAAAAAGAAGAAAACCAAAATCACCTCCATAACTCAATATTTCCAACATTTAGATAAAAAATAGCAGAAGAGCATACAGTTACCAGAAAGAAAAAAATAATAAATATGTGAGCAGAAATAAATGAAATATACAACAACAACAAAAGAAACAATAGAAAGAATCAATAAGACTAAAAACGGATTCCTTGAAAAGATCAATAAAATTGAAAAATGACAATTTTGACAAGGGGAAAGGAGAAGATGCAAACAATATGGATAAGAAATTAAATAGGCAACATCACACCAGAACCAAATGACATTAAAAAGATAATAACAGAAAACTGTGAAGAACTGTTGTTGTTGCTGTTTTTGTTAGCTGCCATCAAGTCAGTATTGACATAACAACCCTATGCACAATAGAACAAATCACTACCTTATCCTATGCCAACCTCATAATCATTGCTACACTTGAACCCATTGTTGTTGCCTATCGATCTCATTGGGGACCTTGTTCTTTTTCACTAATGTTTCACTTTATCAAGCAGGACGTTCTTTTTCAGGGACTGGTCCCTTGTGTTAATACATCTGATGTATGAGAGATAAAGTCTCACCATACTGTCTTCCCAGTGGCATTCTGGCTCTACTTCTTCTAACACAGATTAGTTTTCTAATTTTGGAGTTAATGTACTTTCAATATTCTCCTACAACACATAACTGAAATGTATCAATTCTCCTATAGTCTTCCTTATTCATTGTCCAACTTTTACACACATATAAGCTTATTGAAAATAACATGGCTTGGTTCAAGTGCATTTTAGTCCTCAATCTGATATCTTTGCTCTAGAACACTTTAAAAAGGTCTTGTGCAGCAGATTTGGCTAATGCAATACATTGTTTGATTTCTTTGCTGCTGCTTCCATGAGTACTGATGGTTGATCTGAGCAAAATGAAGTCTTTGACAACTTCAATCTTTTCTCCTTTTATCTTGATATTATTTATTGGTCCAGTGGTGAGGATTTTTGTTTTCTTTACATTGAGGTGAAACAATACTGATGGATGTGGTCTTTTGTCTTTATCAGTAAGTATTTTAAATCCAATGGTGAAAACGGGAGAAATAATGTTAAGATGCTTGGCTGTCTTTTGAATCTTGGTTTCCCTGGCATACCATTATAAAATAGATACTTGAGGGGAGAGAAAGGACTAGCCATAAATATCACCA